TTGCTTCAACAATCATCAGTGCTTGGCAACACAGTTCTATTGAAAGATAAATATTGTGTAATGTCTCTACATAGTTTTATAAGTAGATCAATCAATTAACATAGCAAAAAATTGGTTTCATTAGCATGTTTCAGGCATTAGGAGGTGCTTTACTAATTAAAAGTCCCACACATAAGCAAATGCTATTTCCAGTTTGTAGATGTAAATTTTATGAGGTACTGAAGTCATTCAGTGCCAAGTTGATAACACAAGCTGCCACTTCAGAGGATGCAATCCAGCACAAATCTGGCCACTGGCCACAGCACTTTGGGACTCATCAGCTGAATGCTGCCATTTACCCCAGTAGAAGGCACAGATATGTACCCTGAGCGCTGGAAGAAGTGCCACCACCAACTCAGTTTTGAGAAATTAAGATATTCAGAATTCTATTTAAAACTTCCTTCCTTTGCAGCAGTATTGTTTTACAGTATTTCAGGGATTGCTTGTTTGCTTTTCATCTCATTGTTTACCTGAAGGTACAAAACCAGCAGAACACCTGGCGCCTCTGGCTTCATATGTAAATATATTCATGTCTGTGTATTCAAAGATCTTATTTAAAATAATACTCTACAGATGTTTCTGTGAGGAGGTTTTAGTTCATTCTTTACACTAAAACAGTGCCACATCTGCTGTACATGACCTGTCCCTCATGGAGAAATGAAGCTATTGGATGGAACAGAACTGATACACTAGTCTGTAGTTAGCTTTAGGTCTGAGTAAATAGTTTCATCCCTCTAAAACATCCCAAAACTAACTTTGAAAGGGTCCATTGCCAATGTCTTTAAAATGATTCAGAGATACAACATCCACAGGCACCTCACAGTAATTTTCCTAAAAGATTTATTTCCTTTATACTTGATTATAATACTAGCAATGGTATCGTACAGAATTTAATGTTCTTTTTACCTCTCATACCTTTAATATACACATTTAAATGTTCTCAATGACACACTGATGAGTGCAACTGAAACAGAGATGATAAAAAAAAAACCTCAAATCCAATCCACACCAAGTTCTTGAACCCATTAAGAACAATGATCTATTCTTCCAAAATAGTTTCACTTTGTTGTCTGCAAAACCAAAAGCAGATCCTTGGCTTTACACATTGCTCAGTGCTAAATAAATCTTGGAGGAGTATTCCCGGGACAACATTTTTTTTGAATGACTTATTGGTTGGCACTGGAGTTTGCCTGTCAGGTGGCACCTCTGTCATGACTTTACCTTCCAGGAGGGGAGAAGTATTTTAGAAAATGAGAAAGAGGTAGAAATTTTGATTATTTTTTTTTTCACTTCAATTTAACTTCGTGACTCAAAGACAACTGACACAAAACACGTAAGAACACAACTTCTGCTAACAAATATGCTGCCAGTAATGTCACCCAGGGAAATGAAGACAACATATTTTTTAGAAAATTACAGTCCTCTAATCATCCTGGAGAACTGATGACTCCTTTGGTGTTCAAATACATCCCGCAGACAGCAGAACCTGCTGATGATTTACTGAGCAGATTCTCTGCTTTTCTTAAAGCCTATTTTTGAGCAGCTACCACAAGAGAATAAATGTCCAGTTCTGCAGCTCAGCAGAACATGTAATTGTTATTTAGAAATTGTTGTAACTTGTAGTTGTGGCCTAGAATATGAGATAAAGAAGTACTCAGCACAGTCATCTGTGAAAATATTCACAAAACTGTGTTTATACCATTCTTGCATATATTTTAATCCAAACATTTGCATGGCCAATGCAAAAGAACCAGTAAAGTGGCACTATTCTTATTTGATCAGCTCTGCAGAACCACAAATTGCAGTATGTACTTTAGTAGTTTCCCACTGTTTAGACTTTGTTAACACAGAACATTCTGTGACCAGCTGTATATTTGGCCAACACTTCTTTGTGCAGGGTTTATGTAACACACAACTCAGGTTAAGATTGCAGGTCAAGATTTTGGAGAATTATAGATTTACAGACTCTTTGAAGTTGGAAGGCACCTCTGGAGATCACTAAGCCAATCCCCACACCAGGTTGAAATCTTTATCTTTTAAAAAATGAGGGCAATTGATACAGAAACCAGAGACAGACAAATGGACCATCACAACATTTGAGAGATTCTTTTCCCATGCGTTTACAGCTTTTAGCTTTTTACCTACTTGAAATCATATTGCCTATGGTGGTGATTTATGTTGAAGACTCAATTATATGGTCCAAAGAATTGTGATGCTCGTTGCCAAAGATCCCTCTTGTTCTTATATATGTATTTACAAAGAGCTAAGGTGTGTGATATTTTTCATATTGATAAAAATGTGATTAAAACACAAGTGTACTTGTTATAACAAGTTTTGTTTATCCATAATGTACCAATCACGAGTGCAAATAAATGTTAATTTAAGTAAGTATTAACAGACAGGCCTTCACCAGCTAGCAGATGTAGCAATCTAATTCAGCAGTGCCAAATCTTGATTTAGGTTTTGCTCCACACGGACTGGAAAATTTATCCTGTGATGTCGGTCTTATTATTACAAAGAATTAGTCATTCAGCATGTAAACACACAAATTAGCAGAGCCAGAATCTATTTTTTACATTAAGACATGAAAGTGGACTATAAAGGAAAATCTTTGACCAATCCTGTGATTGAGCTAATAAAGTATTAAAACTGAAAAATATACAAACTGAGATTATAAGCAATAAAGACTGAGGAAAGAAAGGGCACATTAATGACAGTTCACAGCATTAAGATTCAAAACAAATTACATTTCCATGATTAACCACCAGCATTTGATACAATAATGAAAAGAAATGCCAGCAAACTGATTCATGTTATTGTACTGCAAACTGTTAACTGAGTTTCAAAATAAAAGCAATTTCATCCTTTATAACAGTGGCAGGCTATTTCAGACAGATCAATTAAAATGTTTTGCCTCATCAGATCTGTGCCTGATTGTACAGAATCACTGCACTTGGAAGGGAGAAATCCCCAAAGGAACAACCTCACAACAAAAATGTTCAGCAATATTCATTCTAGCATTAAATTATCAGTGGATTCAGTCTTAGAGACATTCATCTTATGTTCTGTTCATCATAATCATATTCTAAGACCAAAACCAGATCTTAAAAGTGATTAATTAAAACTGACCCCGTAATTTCTATCTATAGGAAGCCTAACCAGACATAACCTTTATGGGATTTTTCATTTTCACACTGAATTGTGGTCATTTCATTTTGCAGTCAGAAGAAACTCTTTAAGACCAGATAATTATTTTTATATTTTATATTTCATTGCTTCCTAATAGACAGATCTAATGCCCTAGAGACTTTTTATGCATATTAAGACTGTAATTTTCCCCCCAGACTGAGGTATCACTATTCCCTACAGCACAGTCCTATGACTAATATCTCAGTGTTTTGTAACTACTCTTTCATTGATAAAGATTCAATCAACTGTACATACATTTGTGCTGCAAAGGACAAATTAAATATACCAGTATTATTATATGTATTTACAGTGTTTCATAGTAAAGTACTATTAAACAAAATACTATTAAAACTAACAGAAGAATCGTAGGTATGGTACAAAGGTTACAACTGGTTAATGTAATATACACTTCAGAGTCCAACATGTTCAAGATCTCCTGTTGATGAAGCTCAAAATCCATTAAGGAAGGACAAAACTGGAGAAGTTGGCAATATGAAGTGGAACTGAAATGCATTTTCTTTTGGATGTCTTTTCTAAATCACCAACAGTGCCAGGTCATGGCAGAAAATAAAGGACAAAGTTCAAATAATAGCCTAGAAATGATGATACTTTCAGACAATGATAGAAGGAGCACATCTTAGAAAAGTTCTTTGTATTAATTTAATATTGCTGCTCTAGCTGCAGAAGAAGAGTCTGATCTCTCAGTAGAAAAATGCATTAAAAAGCCATTTTGTCTGCTGCTGTAGATGAGGTATATAGTTATTTTGCTCAACAGCTTAATTTTTCCAGAATCCCACTAGTATTCCCAGAGAGAATGCTGAAACATCTACTATATGAGAAAAAATTCTAAGGAAATAATTCACAGGTACAAAAAGAACCTCTTTGCCATATCACAGATTATTCTTGAATCCACTCTAGTGCATTGCTTCGTGCAATGTGTTGAGAATTATGAAACTGCAAAGTGCAAAAAATTGTGATGCTTGTTGCCAAAGATCCCTCCTGTTCTTATGTATGTGTTTACAAAGAGCCGATGTGTATAGTAAAATACTATTAAACCAAAATATTATGAAATTTAACACCACTTACAAAAACAAATTTTCATTAATATTATTTCTTAAATAGTTCTAAATATCATTTACAAATACATAAAGAACGATATTTAAAGCAGAAAGGGAAGATTTTACCAGATTATATCCCTTGTGTGATTGTGTATCTAAGGGTTTCTTTTGAGATTCTTAACAAATGACTGTGTTAAACTGTATCAGGACACAGTCAACTTTAACATTAATGAAATCAGAACATGAGTCAGCAGATTGTAAAATTCAGCTAGAAAGAGTTCAACAACTTGAATTTTTAATTTGGTCAGTAAGTACCTTAATAGTACTCTACCCTCAGTCCCCAAAATAAATTTAAAAACAATACAAAGCCCACACAAACAGAAGCAAAACAACACTAAAAAAAGACCAAATAAAAGAAAATGAAGACACCTAGTGTTTGAAGAGTGCAGGCAGATGCAGGTTTTGAAGTCACTGAGATATTTCTGAAAGCTTTACACTGGGATTTTTATTCAAAGTCACCATTTAAATAAACAAAAAATACTCCACATGCCATATATTCCTTTAAATATAAAAAAAGCACTTACAATTAGAACAGAAGACTTCTATTTAAAAAACCCCGCAGTTTTAAAGAGTTTGGAGATGTTGGCATTATATTTTAAATTATTTGTGATGAAAAAAGCTTAATATTTTCTTGAGTACTTGACAGATACTTACACAAAAAAGGGCATCAGCTGAATAAGTGTCTCTTTTTTGGGATTGGCTGTGAATTCTGGCACAGTTTGAATAATTTTGTTCATTACGTTCCTTAGGTAATTTTGTAGCTGCTTGCGTCGCTCTTCTACAAACTTTGCATCCTAAAAATAGAGAGGAAAAAACATAAATGGCACAAAGAACATCTTTTTCAATTCTATAATGTAACTGAACAGTCCCAATAAGCACAAAAATTCATCTTTTGATGATGTCTCTTTATTATGTCTATATAAGTATGTTGGCAAGAGGCAAAAAACCCTCGACTCTGTCCTCAGAAATAAAGGAAAATCAAGAATCCTGATAAAAACCTGTTTCACAAAAACGTCCACTGCCAGGATGCTGAATCCTCTCCTTGGCAGAACCTGTCTCCTGTGGACCATAAACCACTGCAATCTCAACGGGCAGTGCAGAGCAGCAGCACAGAGGCAGTGGCACAACAACTGATGCCATTTTTTGAGATCCAGAATTACCAGTCTCTGCAGGAGGAAATGTTGACTTACTCCCACAACTTCCTCACAACTCATATTTTTCAGTTGTTGGGTGCACAAACTCTAGAATGGATGAATAATTCTCCAGCACTTTCATTATTGTCAATAAATTAATATTTTGTGATGGAGTTTATATGATTGCTTTTTTAAATATTACAATCATAAGTCTCATTAAAATGTTTTACTGAAGTTTCTATAGCATTTTAGATGCCAGGATTTTATACTACATTGGCCCAAATAAATAGAATAATTCTATGAACTCCACATTCTGCTGAAGGACTTAAAAGTCTAAAAATCAAAATGTCATGCACCCTGTAACTCAAATCTAGTTTAAACTTTTTCCCTGTGAGGGATCCCAACAGTGAGCTGGGATATAAAGGTGACACATTTCCCACTAACTTATAAAACTGTAACAGGTTTACAGTGACATCAGGTGCTGGATGGTTTATGCTCTATGTCAGGAATGCAGGCTCTGTTCACCTGGTTTAAATGTCACAGAATGTTCTTTAGGCACGAAGTCAAACCTATTATTAGACAATTACAGCTCCCAAAGGTGACTATTATCTAGAAGATGTGCCTATCCAACCTGTATGATTTAAGTCAATAAGAGAAGACATCGAAACAAATTCTTGTTTCTTGAAAAAAAAATAAATAAAAAAAGACAACCCATCAACAAAACACCATAAATACATTTGACAACACTGAATAAATTCATTGTATGGAGAAGGCTGCCATGCATGGGATGCAAATCTGGAGATTATTGTTTCCTTAGATAGAGCAGACTGACATCATCAAAGCAGGGATGCTCCTTGGAATTCAGGAGGACTGATGTAGAGTTCCTAGAACATTCACTGACATTTTGTTCTGCTCTTGTCTCTCATTAGAAGTTACCAGGAACAGGAATATTTTTAAGAATAAGAAATTAGACATAATAGTAGGGACATAATAGAATAAGATATAAGAAATTGCTTCAAAATCTTAGGTAGTGCTTATGTTAACTTCACAAAATTAAAAAATATTCCAATTTTACTTTGTTTTCTACCTATGAACTTACACAGATGTCCAGTCCTGTTTCAACATTCCAGTTTCACGTTAAATAATCAGGATCTGAGTGAAAATAAAACCCCCCTATGTATTATGTGCCTTGCTAATTCTTTTTTATCAGTCACATTGTTTTTCAGCAGCCTACACACGCCACACACAAACTGTGTGGCAAGTGATTTGATTCTAGTGCTAATTGATTTACTGATGAAATGAAGAAATGAAGTCTGAAAACGCTTGGAAACTCCTGCTTTACTAAAAATCCAAAGCTGTGCTGTTGAAAGTTCGTGCAAAGCAACTCTGCAGAGTCCCTCACCCCGTCCTCCCCCAGCGAGGACAGTGACTGCTCAAACAGAACTGAGCACCAGCTTGTTCTGTGCCCCTGCACAGAGGGAGTCTGGACAAATGTGTGCAACAGAAGTCCAGACAAGCTGTTGGGAACGTTAAAGCAAAAATTCGAATACATGGTGACACATAATATTATCATAAAATGGAATGGCAATAATAAATAAAAGTGCTGTTCAGTACTAATTAACATCTGTGTTACTATTTTTCTTCTTTTCACTAAGATTTTTGTTCCTACTTGATTCTTCGAGTAGGCTCAAGGAATAGCCTTGTATTCCCATCTTTTCTCTCAAAGGATTTAAATTATCACACCATCCCCTTGGTAGGGACACTAATTTGCTACCACCAGCTGTGTGAGGCAGACAACAAGAAAGGAGATGTCCAGGAAGAAGAAGTCTGTGGAACAGCTTTGGTTCTGAAAGCTTTAACCACTTGAGCAGTGGTGATGTTTGGCACATGAGCCCGTTTCAGTTATGGAGTAATCCTCTCCCCAGGTCCCATATACATTATAATGTCCTATATACAAATAATAATACTATATTATACAGTCCTAGACTGTATAACAGAGGAAGAAGCACTGCTTTGCTCTACAAGCCAGTTCCCAGTGCAGACCCAGCCTCACCTTTGAGCCATTCCAAAGAATGGCCTCACCTCCGCTGCACTTCCTGTATTCTACTTTCATCTCTTCTGTCAATGATGTTTTCAAGCCCACAAGAACACCTCCATTTTTTTAAGTACTACATTCATCAGCACTTTTTGAGTTCTTAAGTTTGTTTGGTCGCAAATCCTCAATGACAGTATTTTCACTGAAGTAATTTCAACTCTGTTAAAACCTGGTCTTAAGAGAAGCTGCATTCCCTTAGTATGACTTCTGTACTGCACATGTATTTGAATAAAAACATCTTTCACAGGCAGGATCTCTTTGTTATAGACATGGGAACAAAATGCTGAAAGTAGGTACTTTCTATCCCTTATGTTATTGTAAAGGATCGCCTTGACTATAAATAATAATGGCACAAAGGAGTTTTCTAATTAAGTCTGTCCGAACATGCTTAGGAAATGCATTTTTTGCTGTTTACAGCTGATTAAATTAGTGCTTATAATATAGCTATTTTTCTGCCATTTATTCAAGCGAAAGGCAGAACATCTCAGAAATTAAACTCAGCCTGAAAACAGTTAAAAATGTTCTGTTAGCCTGACATAAATTTGATCTCTAAAACAAACACCAAGCAATATTCCATGAAATTCTGTACTATGTACTAAAGCCCATTGTCCTCACCAGAAGTAATGTAAACCAAGGTCAAAATGATTCAGCTGTGGGTCTACACTTTATCATTAAGTGTGCATTTTGCAACAGCAGGTTGGGTACTCAGAGAAATGATTTTACCAGGCAGTTGTTACTGCCAAGCTGTTGCAGTAATAAAGAGTTTTTGTCACAATATAGTAAACAGAACAACTGGTAACAGAAAAACACAATTGGCTCAAAGCCTGGCCAATTTTTTCAGTCTCAAATAATAAAAAGGTAACTGTTACCCTCTTTTCATTGGGTCCAATTATCTACAGCAGAAATCTAGTTAGTATTTTATATTCCAACTCGTAAACAAACTCCTATTTTTATTTACAAGTAAAAAGTAAAGTGAAATATTTTGGTTTGTATTTGTATCAGTGAAACCTGCTCCATATTTTCAGTCCATGTCTTTGGTGACTGTATGAGGCTGTACCTGTCAATACAAGTCTACACTTGCATATCTACTCAGAAAACTGCAAAGCTCTTTCCCTAAGATTTAATTTACAGATTTAACATACACATTTATGTACACTTGATTTGAATGTACTTTGAGGACAAAGTAATTTTGTTAAATTACAAATACATATAACCTTACCTTTTCACATTATTAAAGGTTAGACTATATGGTTTCATTCTTGGAAAAACAAACACATATACAGAAAGATTAAGTAACACTACTTAGATAAACACAAACTTTTAAGATTTCACTGAAGAGAGATCCTGTTTACATGGTTAAAAAGAAGGCCTGCTCTCAAAAATACAAAGGAGTATTATTGCAAATCCTGAAACTAAAAATGTATAGAAGAACTGGAGTGGGTAAGGTGAATAAACAGCAAGCCTTGTCTCTAACAAGAACTTGTCTGGAATCATCCAGCCAGTCATTTACCAGTTGGGTTCTGAAACAAAGTGAAGATCTTTTCCTTGCCTCATAAATGCTTCTTTTTATTTGCAAGTTATATTTGACCTCCCTATTTGACTAAGAATCTCTTTCTCTGTTAGAAGAAAAGGGACCATATAGAGAGGAACTCTGTTATACATCTCTAGGCCATGTTGGCCACATTTACCACCAATTTATGCAGAGTAAACTTAACATACCGGTATTCACCTTCAATTTTCAGGCATATTTTCTGAAAAATAAAGCTACCACTGTTTCTGCACTCACTACTGTGAAAGTTATTTCCTAGCCCACAGATGAAGAGCACACACTTTTGATTGAGAATCC